AGAGCTTTGGAATCCTTTGATGAAGTCTTCACAGCTTCAATCACTCTTTTTGGGAGATTGAGTCTTTGGAGAATTCATATCCCCCTCATCCTCTTTCTATTCTCTCAGACTCTTTGTAGCTGGGGACGAAGCATCCTAGGCTTGTTCAAAACCCACCACTGGTTTTCCTGTCCTTCCCACCCTGCTCCATCCTTCTGTTCACAGAATGCCTTTGCCTGGCCTGAAGTTGTCATCCGACCTTTTGGCCCTTACCCCTGAATTGAAGTATTCAGGGAGCTGATAAATGTGCAGAAAAGCTGGCAGTGATGTCATGGTGCTGTTTCTTCAGATCAGAGAGCCTGGAAACATCTTGAAATCACCTTCTTCAGTACTGTAAATAGACTTACAAGTAGGAATGAAGGATTTTATTCACTCAACTCTTCCACTTATTCGCTTTGTTCATTCCTTCTCCTTACTAAATAAATATGAAAAGTACCATTTTGCTCAGGCAGGGCCCCCTTGAGTCCCTCTGTGGCTCCAGGTTGTTTCAGCCAGGCAGTCTGAGAGACTGCTCTGCTTAACTGAATGGAGATCAAATATGTGAATATTCAGAATGTATCCAGTAAGGATGGGCTACAGAGGATGTAGTAACAACTCTAAAACACACTCAAAATCCAAGTAGATCTAGGTGTTCTCCAAAGGGCATTTGTTTTCCATGCATTTGCTCAGGTGTCCAGAATCCTGGGTTGTCCAACCTTATAATCACCAACATTTCTGTGCTCAGCACATAAAATTGGGCATTTCAGCAATGTTCACTGGCCTTAATCTTCTATCCAGGAGGAACATATGTCACAGGGCAATGCCTGCCTCCATAAGGCCTCTCTTATTGAAACATTAGTGAAAAACAGTAAAATCTACTAAAAGATACCAGTCATTAGTTATACAGAGGCCTAATAGTCCCAGGCAATTCAACTGAACAATAATGAGTATCTAGGTCTCTGAATATGGTTTTTCCAGTGGTCATGTATGGATGTGAGAGTTGGACTATGAAGAAAGCTGAGTGCTGAAAAATTGATGCTTTTGAACTGTGGTGTTGGAGAAGACTTTTGAGAGTCCCTTGGACTGCAAGGAGATCCAACCAGTCCATCCTGAAAGAGATCAATCCTGGGTGTTCATTGGAAGGACTGATGCTGAAGCTGAAACTCCAATACTTTGGCCACCTCATGCGAAGAGTTGACTCGTTGGAAAAGACCCTGATGCTGGGAGGGGTTGGGGGCAGGAGGAGAAGGGGATGACAGAGCATGAGATGGCTGGATGGCATCACCGACTTGATGGGCATGAGTTTGAGTAATTTCCGGGAGTTTGTGATGGACAGGGAAACCTGGCATGCTGCGATTCATGGGGTCGCAAAGAGTCAGACACGGCTGAGCAACTGAACTGAACTGAACTGAACTGAGGTCTCTGAATATATTGGTGCCTCCACAGGAAGAAGGCTCCCTATTCTTCTGGTGAAAACACTTTATAGTCCATTCATTCATTTCCAGTTTACACTTTGAGCACCTCCAACACCCATTGCTGAAACACAATTTTACAACTAATCTCTAATGTTAAGGAAGTTCTGAGCTTTAGTATACATGAAGGCATGACATACCTGAATAAATGTTTGGCATATCAATTAATATTTTATTTTTTCTGATAGGTACCTGGTTTCTTTGCTCTACTATATAAAACACAGGTAACCTGAAATGGTCCAGCACAACATTAAGCTTGAATTAAGGACATCTAAAAGGTAAGAGTGATCAAGAATGTTCTGAATGTTTTGAATGTAAACAACTCAAATGCCAGTGTTGTATATCAGTGAAATTCAGAACAAAGCTAGAATCCTAGAAAAGTAAACATCAGAGGGGTTCCCATAGGGTGTTCAGTATAGGGTGTGGGCTGGACTGGTGACAGGACGGTTGAGAACCAAGAGGCAACTATAGAATATACTTGAGAACATACTATAAAACAGGGGCTTCCCTATGTGGTTGTCCCCACTCCAGACATGGAAGGATCCCAGCTCGCTCCCATGATGTCAGCTGGCATTGTGAGTGTCTTAACATCTCTTGACAATAAGAGGCCCACAGCTCTGGCTTCATTTGGCACCTAGGCTACTAAACTTTGGGTCATGGCTACTGTGGCTGGGGTGGGGCTGATATGATTGGAGATCCATGTTTACATTTTTTCATGACTGATGGTGTAAGAGGGAGAGACCTCTGTGTTCAAAAATGGTTAAAAACCTGCATTTTCTCAAATACCTGCCTCTTTCCTCTGCTTTAATTGAACTGTGTCTGCAGAGCCCAAATGACTCTCCTTGCTTATTCTCTGTGCTGGAGAGATGCACACCAGACTCCCATGGCCCATGGTGCAGGTTGATCTGAAGCTTCTTTCTCAGCATTTGTCAACTTCAGCAACACAGATTTTTTTCTTCCTGTGGCATCACATAGTTTCCTCTTGTCAAGACATAAATATGGCTTACATACTGGGATGAGTAGTGATCACCCACAGAGCATCTGCCCAGACCACCAAGACCTCCCATGTATCCCAGTGGCCATGTTGGATTATGAGGTTCCAGAGTGAGTTGATTGGCTCAGAGGTGGGCATCTGAGACAGGCAGATGCATTTTCACATAGTTTTAAATTGATGTCAAGCAAGAGAGCAAGAGTTTCTGATCTTTGTGACACACAAGAGACCTGGATACAGAGGATTTGATATGTAAAGAAAGGAAAGAGATGAGGATGGGCAGAGAGAGGCAAAGCTAGGGAGGTGGCACAAGTTTGCTTGCCACCCGCCGCCCCCCACCCCCCCACCCATTCCTTCTAAAGTCAATTCAGAATTCTGTGTTCTCAGGGGAAAAAAATTACTTCCCTTTGGCTTAAGTAGATCCAGTTGTTTTTCTTATTTGCAATAAAAACAGGCTGCTCTAAGCTCCAGGCCTTTGTGCTGGAGAGCTGTTTGCTCATTATTGTGTAAATGTTTATATTTCAGAAACTGCCAGGAATTGGGGAGATTTTCAATAACAGAAGATCTTAGCAGGAGCCTGAGCTGCATGCTGTTGAGAGGTGTGGCTTTGTTTTCAGATATGCTGTTCCATATATGCAGTGTAGCTGCAAGCATGTTGGGAAGAGGGGTGGGGCTTGGGGGTCTATTCAGAAAGGGCCAGAGAGGGCAGCTCTCCTGGTCCCTGGGAACAAAGGAAAGAGTGGCTGGTTTCCTGTCTGGGGGAGGATATGCATCACCCCCTCCCATGAGCGTGTGGTTCATTCAGGCCTCATTATAATTTCTTAACCACAGATGTCATTTAAATCTTTCTTCACAGCACTTTGTCAATAAAATCAACTAAATATTAAAATTTAAACTAAACTAAATATAAAAATTTTTGATCTAAAAATTTACAGGCTGAAAGTATAAACTCTGGAGTCACATGGCCTTTTTCAAAAGTGAGCAGTAGCACCAATGCTACCTGTACAAGTTCCCTTCCTTTCTGTGTCTTGGCTTCCTTGTCTGTAAAATGAGAAGGGTTTGACTAGATTATCTCTGAGGCAGAGTGGAGATGAACATCCCCAGAACTGCCAGGCAGGAAGAGGTTTGGGGATGAAACTGAATATGGCTCTACACCCTCTTTGCTTGAGATTTCAAAAGGGATTAGGATTGTGCAGATGGTATATTCTCCCATGAGCCAACAGCAGTCACACTGTCAAGGGTAGAGAGAGATCCTGGGTGTTCAAGGGTGAGGGTCCTACTGGGGTGTAAGGCCACTCAATCTGGCCAGAGAAGCGGGTACCTTCCTGCCAGGTCATCCCTCTATACCTGTGCAGCTTCCTAGGCTCAGAGCTTGAAGCAAGAGGCAGCCACTGAGAGACCTCCTGTTAGGGGAAGCACACTGGTTGAAACCCTCCACCCTGGCCAGGCACCATAGTAACTATTTGCATGAGCTGTTTTACAACAGGAGGTCCTGCTAAGGATCACAGAACTAATAAGCCTCCACCAACTGAAAGAATTCGGGAAAGGCCAAAATGAGACACCACATGTCCGACCACCTCCCAGAATCCTTCTCTCTGGCATTTATCTTGGCTGAACAAGGTGTGCACCACCAGGAAGGACTCTTGAGTCAGAATGATTGGCTAAAGACAACCCAGAAACTAATCCCATCACGATAAAACCCTAGACTGCAAGCCATGTGACAGAGCAGTTCTCCTGGGTTCCCCTACCCTACTGCTCTCCACCCGGGTGCCCTTTCCCAATAAAATCTCTTGCTTTGTCAGCACATGCGTCTCCTCGGACAAATTCATCTCTGAGTGTTAGACAAGAGCCCAGTTTCGGGCCCTGAAAGGGGTCCTCCTTCCTGCAACACACCCAGCCCCAGGGCTACAGCATGCACTGGCTAGAGAAGTCCAGGGTTTGGGAAGAGGTCTTGAACAGAACACTACCTGAGGGAGGCATCAATAGAAGGAATTTAAGCTATGGGAGAGAATGAGCCCAAGCCCGGAGTGAGTGTGAGGAGAGAAGTGAGCCAGAACTGAGGCTCCCAACCTCCTCTGTGGACTGGTCCAGGAGGAGAGAGAAGGGAAAGAGAGTGATGCTGAGCAGCCAGGAAGATAAGAAAACCACAGACAGGAGAGGAAAAGGGGAGGAGGAGACAGTGATCAGTGGGGTCAAATGTAACCGATGGTTGGTAGAGATGGAGGGATGAGGCAGAGACACTGAATTTTGCAAGAGGGGAGAGTTGGAGACCTTCCTTTAGTCCTTGCTCCTGGGAAGGGAGGCTGCCCCTCTTTTTCTCTGACCAATCTTTCTTGTGTGAAGCCAGTTTCGAACTTTATTCTGAGGGATGTATTCCATAGGAGCCCTGACTCTGGCCTTATCCTGTGGAGAAGCCCTGGCCAGCAGAGTGTCACCATTTTATTGAAACACTGGAAAAATGCAGCTCTGGGGACTGCCCCCGACCCAACACACACACTGTGTGTGTGCGTGGGAGGAGCTCAGAACTCGCAGATCACGAGGCGCTGCTCTCCACAGAGCTTGTCATTCCACTTGCCATTGGGGAAGATCTCCACACAGTTCTCTGAGCCACCATCATTGTTGGGCTCCTGGGGGGCCCAGTTGGAATAGACCAGGGGCTCCCCCGTGGGGTAGATGAAAGTACCCTCCTTCCTGGAGTCGGTCATGCTTAGGAAAGCAGACTTGTTCTGGGCTGTGGCCAGCTGAGTCAGGGCCTCATTCTCAGCTGCAGAACGTGGAGAGGGCAACTGTCCTCCAGCCTGTGTGCAGATCTGCTGGGCATCCTGAAACGTTTTCTCAGAGCCTGCTGTCTTAAAGATCTTCTCCCCAACACTCCGGCCATCAGGGAAGAGCACCGCTAGGGGAAGAGGAGAGTCAGGTTGGGGATGCGGCAGCATCTAGACCTTGTGCTTCAACTGGAGTCCCCAGTCTCCTATCCAGGTACTAGGGCACCAGATAGGAAGGAAGTGAGGCACTTGGTTCTGAGCAGTCCTGGCTCCGTGATGTGCCCTGTGAGTGGTGCCGTGGTCTCCAGGTACAGGTGAGGACCCCGGAACTCAGGTGCTTATGTAAGAGGCCCAAAGTCGCCCAACTGTTAGATGTAGATAAGGATCAGACCTTTCTTGAGGTAACACTAAAGCTTGCACTTTCTGTTCCTCCCTGTGTTGCATGCCAGAATCAAGTTTTCAGTTACTCTGTAGGTTGGAATGACTTTGGGAGGGAAATGACACCATGCAGCCCAGTGCGGTTCCTGAAAGTGGGGGAAATACCATGCAGGGGGCTCACTCCAACCCCTCCATGATGATTGGGCGCATGGGGTTGTCACAGGGAGTTCTGTACTATCTGAAGGGGTGGGGGGAAGGAGAGGATGGGGGTGCATCTGAGAACAGCTTAATATTAGCCTCAACATGCTTGTGGATGATGCAAGTCACTCAGCCTCCCTGGACCACTGGGCAGTGTGTGTAGAAATAGCAGGCAGGATGGGATCAGCACTAAAGACAGCCCTGTTTTGGATGCAGAAGACCATGTATTCATCTTCACCTTGGCAATGATGGTCCAGGTGGACACAAGAAAGTCACTTCCCTTTTCAGGGTCTCATTCCTTATTTCTAAAGTAGGGGTATACTGTATAACAGTATCCTCTGTGTGACATAAGTAGCTCTTCTTATTGTAACCCGTCCCCATCACTCTGACTTCTAGGGTCATACATGGAAATTTTTAGGGCTCCTTGGACTGTTTAGGAACCCAGGCTGCACCCTGACCATCTGCCTTTCTCTGAGTAGCTTCAACAGGGACTCAGGGAACAGATTCTCTAGGGGGTCAGGATGGCACCCAGATCAGCCCTGAACAAGGTCAGAGTAAGTCTATGTGACACTACTGGGTTTACATCGCATGCATCTGGGTGGATGTGTATTTGTATGAGTGAATGTGCCCATGTGTCTATCTGAAGATACACGGGCAGACTTAAGGTCCATCTGGATAGGAGAGCCTATGTGTACACGGTTCTCATGTTTGTAGATGGTGTCACATAGGTGATTGTGTTTAGTACACATGAGTGTAGCCAGTGCATATGCCCACGTTCTCTGTTTGCATCAATGTGCATATGCAGGAGTAAATACGTATGCAGATATGCTTGTGGAAGGAGGAAGACATACCAAATGCTGGCAACTCTCATCCTTAACTACTTTGGTGCTTAGTTTGCTTGAGTCCTTAGAAGCCAACAATATGTCTCAGCAGATCAGGCCCCTTTATGCTCTGCTCCTTCAGAAAATTTTTTATCAATCACTGAGTTTGGATGAATGATGTGAATGCAAAGCTGTCGTCAGGCAGAGCAGAGAAGGAGGAGGGACAGTTGGTGGAGAGTCCCAGGGCACAGGGCACTCAGGTGTGTGCTCCAGGAGGCCTCTGCCTGCTTAGGATCCAGGCTTAGGGAAGAATCTCTGCTTTGAACACCACAAGAGGTGCAGAGGGAGTTCAGCACTGACCAGAGACTGGAGGCAGTCTGCTCCTGCCAGACCTACAGGCATGTTTAGGGAGAGATCCTTGGTGACCACATACTAAGGACATGTCCCCAGCAGCCTTGAACCCCACATGAAGCATCCCACCCCCACTCCCATGACCAGTCCTGGATTCTCTGCTGCCCTGGGATGTGTGGCTGCTTCTCTGTGCACTTGCATACCTGGCCCCACAGAGGAAAGACAAGGGTTGGGTGTCCCCTTGTCTGTCGTAGGGACCTGCCCAGGGTATGCCGGGATAAGGTCTGCTGAACTGGTGACACTGACCACTTCTCCTTGTTCTCTGTGTCTACTTGCAGATCCTGGAGCATGGCTCTGTCCCAGCCCTGTCCTTAGCCCCACTCCTGCCCCAGGTCTAGGTCAGTCCCAATCATGGTCCCAGCAAGTCCAATTTAGACCTAAGCCCAGCGAACTGCAAGCCAAGCCCAGACTAAGTCTGAGGCCCATGATCAGGGCCTGGCTCAGGGTCAGGTCCAGGAACTCACCTTTCTTATACTGAGAGAAGGCATTCTGGAGGCGTCGCAGGTGTCCCTCTAAGACTGCCACCTGCTGCCTGAGAACATTGACCTCTGCAGGAGAGAGAGGCCAAGTGAAGACAGATCCAGAACAGTCTGGGGTCACTCAGAACCCAGCCCTCAAGGGAGGAGTGTCCAGGTGGAGACGCAAGTTGGGGGTGAGGTGGAACAGGTGGAAGTGGAACAGACCCCTGGGAAGCCCACCTCTGCTGACCTAGCTGGCCTCTGCTTCCATGGGATTTCCTGTGGTTCTCTTGTGAACAGTATCACCTGAACAGGTCCCTGCACCTCACTGACAGTGAACCAGGTGTCATTTTAATTCCAAATTCTAGGAATCTGATAGCACTTCCTTTTGTGGTGCAGGGGGTGGTATGGTTGTAGGAGAGGAATACACACAGCTTGAATAATTTTCATCCACTGAGTTATTTGCTGTTCAGGGTTAGCTGATGAATTGGAGAGGGAGGTTAGAGATCAGATAGAAAATCTGTTCACGTTGTCCTGCAGCAAGTCATAGAGGCTAAGACCAGAGTCTATCTTGCCATCCACCCTGTCAACTTTTCCTGCTTCTACCTCCATCTGTAACTTAATGGGTTGCCTGAGAGGAGAGCTGAGGTGAATAAGGTCACTTCCCTGCCCCACACCCTAATGGGGCCCCCAAGTCTTCCTTACCTGCAAGCCCACTCTCACCCTTTGCTCCTCTTTCTCCAGGAGTACCTCTGTCTCCCTTCAGTCCTGGGGGGCCCCTGGCACCTGAAGGCCCCTGTGGACCTATGGCTCCAGCAGGCCCTGGGATCAGAGAAGTAGAAATGGGTGCATGCTGAACATATATTTCAGCATTTTCGCGCCCACTCCCCACCCCCAAACATGGAATTCATATCCCCCAGCCAAAGACCCTCCACCTGTACAAATGTCCCTCTGTGCCTGAAATCTGTCCTTGCATCATCTCTGTACACTGACTGTCCCATAACCCGACAACCAGACTTCCCTGGATACAGACAGTCCCTGCCACTCTCACCACCTTCTCTCTGGAGACAGACAGTTCCCAGAGCCCAACACTGGCTCTCGCCCTGGAATGCCAGCTCTGACCTGATGGCTGGTGGGGATGGGCACAGGGGAACATGAGCCCAGCCCCATGTCCATTGCTCACCTGCCGCCCCAGCACGTCCAGGGGCTCCGGGCTCACCAGGGGCACCTCTCTCTCCTTTGGGACCTGAGGGGCCTGGGGAGCCCTGCATGCCTGGGGCACCCACTCCTCCTGCAGAAGGAACACATTGGAGAAACACGGCTGAGAGTGTGCTCAGCAGGTCCCACTTCCTCAGCAGTGCAGCTTGTCACGCACAGCTCCAGGTGAGAGAGCGACCTGGGAGACTGCTCCTGACCGCTTGGTCTCTTCCAGGAACCGTATTGGGAAATTCAGTCAGTGTGGGAATGTGGGTGGAGAGGCCCAGGCCAGGCCGACCAGGCGCGGAGGTTCCAGGCTTTTCCAGGCACTGTGCACGTACCTTGGTCCCCAACAGGGCTGCCCATGTCACCCCTCCCGTCTCCCTCCCTCAGCCACCACACACCACCCTCCTACCTTTGGGCCCAGTCTCTCCTTTGGGGCCTGATGTGCCCGGAGGTCCCATGCTCCCCTGTCTCCCTGAGGGACCCTCTCTCCCAGCTGGACCAGGCATGCCTGGAGGCCCTGGGGAAAAGGACCAGCCTGGTTAGTGACACTGAATCTCCTTGGAGGTGGAAATGCTTAAAAGATGGGGCTGTAATAGAAGTCAGACAGGCAGCTTCCTGCTAAAGATGTTGCCCCCACTCCACCCTCCCCAGGAGCTCCAGTCTTCCCTGAAATAACCCGTGCCACCTTGAGAATGACCTTCTTCCTCTTCCTGGGGTGGAATCTCTGCACGCCTACTGCCGTGTCCTAACACAGCACACCACCTGCAGACACCTGCATTCCACGCCCAGCTGCTCACCAGGTGGTCCAGGGTCTCCCTTTGGTCCAAGTTCTCCAGCAGAGCCATTGTCCCCTTTCAGCCCAATGGGGCCAGCTGGTCCAGGCATTCCTGCTCGTCCTGCAGGTCCTGGTGAACCTGTGACAGAAGAGATGGACATAAAGCTGATCCCGGCCCAGGAGGAGCCAGCTGCCTCCAGAGTCAGGGCCCTGGCATTCTTTCAGGGTTCTATAGGGTGTAGACACTCCCCCTCCAGGTGACTGGTCCAGTGGTGATCTAGGAAATCCGTATCCACGTCTCCATTTTACAGGTGAAGGAACAGGCTTTCAGAATTGGAAGCAGATCCAAACCAAGAGTCACCTGACTTTGCATACAATACACCTGCCCCTTCCCCCAGGCCACAGTATTTATGGCAGTTAAGTCTGTCAGCTTTTACCCCGGACCATGGACTCCCTGCCCTCCCACTTCCAAAACCAACATTTCTGTCAGAAATGACACCTGACACTAATCACCAGAGGAATATAAATCAAAAGCACAATGAGAGGTCACCTCACACCTGTCAGAATGGCTATTATCAGACAGCAAATAAGAAGTGTTGGAGAATGTGGAGAAAAGGGAAACTTTGTGCAGTAGGGATGTAAATTGGTACAGCCACTATGGAGAACAGTATGGAGGTTTCTCAGAAAGCTAAAACTAGAGCTACTGTATAATCCATCATTCCACTTCTGAGTATTTAACTAAAGAAAATGAAAGTACTAACCTGAAAAGATATATGTACCCCCAAGTTAATTGCAGCATTATATATGGTAGTCCAGACATGGATGCAGCCTAGAGCCCAAGTATCTGTGGATGGAAGAATGGATGTAGAAAATGCAGGGTGCATATACAATGGAACATTATTCAGCCATAAAAGGGAGTGAAATCTTGCTATTTGCAGCAATACTGGTGAACTTTGAAGGCACTCTGCTTAGTGGAATAAGTCACAGAGAAGGGTGGTACTATACGATCTCATTTATATGTGAAATCTAAAAGAAAACAAACAGAGACAACATATTCACAGATACAGAGAACAGATTTGTGGTTGCTAGAGGTGGGGTTGCAAAGTGAGCAGAATGGACATAAATCTTCAAAAGGTACAAATGTCCAGTTAAAAAAAAATTGAGTCCTAGGAATAAAATGTACAGCAAAGTTACTATAGTTAGTAATCCTGGGTTGCATGCTTGAACATTGCTGAGCAAGCAGATCTTAAAAGTTATCATCACACACAAACTGTAACTATGTGTGTTGATGACATTGACATGACTTATTGTGACAATCATTTCACAATATATGCAAATATGAAATCATATTTCATATATCTGAATCTAATATATTATAGATCAATTCTATTTTAATATAAAGAGAAAAAACTATGTAACATGTTTTTAAAATTAAAGAAGATAGTCAAAATTAATATGCATCATTAAGTGATAAATGTAGGTTATAAATACTCTATTTAATATGGTTTGGTTTCTTCAACATGTCCATGCATGTATCAGGCATGTGCACATGTAACACACATTGAAAAAAACCACAAGAAGAGCATATACAAGTGTTAACAGTTGTTTTTTCTAAGGGGCACAGTTCAAGTAATTTTAATTTTCTTCTTTTTGTGATTAGTGACCACATGTTAATTGTCTTGTAAAAATGATCAAACATTTTAAAAAATCACATTAGCTTAAGAAGGCTGCCTAAGTCTGAAATTATGAGAGATTTACCTTCAAAGACTAAAGGGAGAAATGCCTATTGATTCACAAATTATATACTCAATTCTGTGAATTTGATTATTCTTTTTTCATTGAGATGAAATTCACATAATATAAAAATAATCTTTTTTTTTTTTTTTTACTGTGATGTGTAGCTTTCAGGATCTCAGGTGCCCAGTCAGGGATTGAACCTGAGGCCTGGCAGTGAGAACACCAAGTCCTAACCACTGGACCTCCAGGAATTCCCTATAATTAGTCACTTAAAGTATGCAATTCAGCGGCATTTAGAACATTGACATAATTGTAAAACTTCTCTTTATTTTAAAACTATTTCATTAATCCCAAAGAAAGCCTCATACCCATTTATCACTCCATCCCTGCCTCATCCAAGGCCCTGGCTACCACTATGCAGATAACACTGTCTGTGTTACCTATTCTGGGTATTTTATATAAATACATACAATATATGACCCTTTGTGTCTGCCTTTTTAAACTAGGAGTGACATTCTTGAGGCTCATCCAATTTGTAGCACATTTCAATACTTCATTCCTTTCTATGGCTGAGAAATGTTCTATAGTATGAATACAATACATTTTCTTTATTCATTCACTGTGGATAAATGTTGATAGACACTTTTGTTGTTTCCATCTTTTGACTTGTGAGTAAAGCATTCATGTGCAAAAAGAACAAAAGAAATCTGTCAGTTACTACTAACTTATTCATTCACTTATTTGTTCATTTCCTCATTATTTCATTTCTCTGTTCACTGAGAAACTATCTGTGGAACATAGTTTTCTGCCTAGCACTGAGCAGGATGTAATTGTTAGCACCAGGTCCTGATTTGCAAGGAATTTGTCATCAAGTTTTAAATTGTGAGGCACAGGTAACAAGTGAAGAAAACAGCTTATGAGATATCCCTCATCCTATCCCAGTACCCCCAACCCATGCATATGCTCAGAAGAAACAGGACTTCAAGGTTGAAGAGGTTTCAGAGACCTGGAGAGGAGAGATGACATTTCAGATCTGGAAACCATTCCCCCAGGGTAAGAAGGGCCAAGCTTGCCTGGGCCAAGAATGTGCAGGTGGTGGAAGACTGGTGTATTTGATGGGTGGTAAGAGCCTCTGTGCTAGACTTGTGTCCTGCTCTTAGTTCTAATTCTCACTAGGCAAGCAATGGGAGCCTGGAGGATGGGCCCCGCATCCCAGACCCCCTGGTGCACTGTGCTCAGGCAGAGACACTTGGGCTCTGGCTGAGCCTCTGCTGGGCTCTTCTCCCCTGGCTGGGTACCTTGGAAGCAAGTCACTCCTTAGAAGGGACCATTAGAGGTTGCCCATCTTTGTGCACAAACCATGGCAGCCATGAGAGCAGGGAGATAGATGAAGGGATACTTTTCAATTCAGGGCCCCTCAGGGAGCTAGAGAGAGCTGGCATCTTGGATACCACCCCTCCTCTGAGATCACTTCTAGGAGGCCTTCTCTAGCCCCAGCCCATTCATGTTGGGAACTACTTTCTCTCTAAAAGACAGACTTGACTCTTACCCTACAAATCTTGGGGATGCTATGTATTCTTTTCAACTTTAATGTTGTTCGTTTCTTTCCTCTCCAATTAAATAACAAGTTCCAGAAAGATAAAAGACCTCAGTTGATCCCTCCATAGCCCTGGCCCAGGGCCATGGTGGTCCCCTCGTCCTTGTCACTGGTTCATCAAATTCTCACTTCTTGCCAGTAAAAAACAGATCTTCTCCTGTGGGGCAGTGTTTCCAGAAAATTCCCTTAATAATCAGTAAATTTGGAAACTGCAGGAGAATTAAGCTGGTTGGTACAGCAGAAGTATAAAACTTTATCTTGAAGACCCAACAAAGAAATGAAGCCTTGGCTCAATTCTTTGTCACTGTGTGGTCGATATTACTCTCATCTACAGATGATTAAACTGAAACTTACAACACTGTCATCAGTTCAAAAATATTTAACATTCTTCAGAGGAAACATTTAAGAAGAATGATCAACAGTTAAGTTTTGGAGTGTGTGTACTCAGTCGCATCTGACTCTTTGTGGCTCTGTGGATTGTAGCCCAACAGATTTCTCTGTCCATGAGATTCTCCAGGCAAGAATAATGGAGTGGGTTGCCATTTTCTATCCAGGGGATCATCCCAACCCTGGGGTCAAACCTACGTCTCCTATGTCTCCTGCATGTGTGTACTAAGTCGCTTCAGTCGTGTGTAAATCAAAGGACCACAGCCCACCAGGCTCCTCTGTCTGTGGGATTCTCCAAGTGAGCATACAGGAGTGGGTTGCTATATCATCCTCCAGGGAATCTTCCTGACCCAGGGATCAAACCTGCATCTCTTACATCTCTTGCACCGGCAGGCAGCGCCGGCGCTGGAAAACCCAGCACTACCTGGGAAACCCAAGAGTTCTGGAGTAGGGGCCTCTGAATATCAGTCTCATTGCACATTCTTGGGGGTGGTTAGAGTCAGAAGATCCTGGGGGAGGAATCAGGACAGCTGGTTATGGAGCTAGGGGCTTGGGCAAGCCAGTCTTTGCCAATCAGTAAAGGCATGTCTCAGGTGGACTGAAGATCTGGGGGAAACCCACCCACTTGGGAAGCCCATCTTCAAGGTTTCCACAGCACAAGATCCAGAGTTTCTGGGTTAGTTACAATGCCAGTGCCCACCCCGTCCCACCAGGACAAGCCCATGGACACAGTTCTACCTGGATCTCCCTTCTCCCCCCGGGGGCCTTCTCTCCCATCTCGTCCATCACGACCAGGCAAGCCACCCTCCAGGGGGCTACACATAACCAGGGTACAGGCGTTGGCCATTGTTTTCTGGGAATAGATCTTCATTTCTGCTCCCAGGGATCTCCAGGGCTGTGTGAGCAGGAGCAGCATGGAGAGCGGGAGGAGAAGCATGTCCTAGGCAGAGGAACAGAAAGAGGGGGTGCTCTTGGTCCAAGGATGAGGACTAGGGCTGGCCCAGCTCCTGGAGGTCAGGAGAAGCCCTTCCCCCATCTCCTCTCCCATCCTCTGGGGCCAAGAGTAGAAGGGCTCCAAAAGCAGTTTAGGGAAAGTTAGGATAAGGTCTGGCTAGGGAGGACATGAGTAGACCAGCTGGACCTCTGAGCTGGTCTGCCAGCAGCGTGAATCTACTCTCAGATGCTCTGTGTCATCCCTTTTTGGGTTTGTCATCCTTGCCTGCGGCACTGTGGCCAGGATGTAGAATTCCTCACTGAGGCCATTGTCACACCAGGAGGGACTCACTGAGGGCCCTCGGGTGGACCCTTCCCTCTCTGGGCCTCTTTATCCCTTTTTATACCAGGAAGTTGGTAGCTTTACCTCTTACAAGGCTGGCTTGTCTCCTTTCACTTGCTGCTCTGCACAGAATAGTGCTGGAGTCTGCAGCACTATCCGAAAAAAAAGCCGGAGTCCTAATGCCTGGTGAGGTTTGTCCTGAGCACAGAATGGTGCATGACTGCTTATTTGCCAGGATTGGTCATTCCTGGGCTCCACCAGGAAAGTTCCTGGCACACTTAGAGTCCTGCCCAGAACTCCTGAGAGGACTTGGGACAGGGGCCTCATGGAAGAGGGGATGTTAGAGACAGGTGCCATCAGGGGGAGGCTGGCTTCAGAGGAGGAAAGCCGATGTCCAACAGAGCTTCCAGTTACCATCAGAAAGGGACTCAGGAGCTAAGTGAGATCAGGGTGGGTACAGGACATGGCCACTCCCAGTGCTGGGTTTCTTTCCTCTCTCAGAGAGAAACTGTAAAGTTTTTAGTATGGAAAAGAATCATAGGAGTTGCAGAGACCTGAAAGAAATCCCAAGGGACCTGTGCAAAGGACCAAGGGTTGCCAAGAAGGCTGATGTAGTGGGAGGGAAGGGGTTTCCTGGCCAGAGAAGTGCTTCCTTCCAAGAGGAAGATGACATGCACTTTCCAAAGGGACTTCCAGACAATGGCATCAGAGATCTGGTTGGATGTCCCATCCAACTCTCCCCCTCTCCCTGTCCTGGAAACACATCTCCCACCAAACCAAAGGAGCAGAGTGAAGTGCATCCCTTATTACCCCATTTTCTCCCAACTCCAACACTGACCCTCCTAGAGTGGCAGATATAGACACACCCTGCCTTCTTCAACCACCCACATAGACAGGGAGATATTCACCAAAAATTGGAAAACAAATTAAGAGGCAAGAACAGAGACACTCACAGTTGCTTCCTCTAGGGCTCCAGCACGTCCAGGCAAATTAGAGTTCCTGCGAGAACTGGCTCCTTATACCTGTCCTGTAACCTGACTCTCAGCCCCAGGTTCCTGAAAACTCTCTTCAAGAAGTACGGTAATTTCCTTCCTTATTGACTCACTCAATTGCACCCTCACCTGGGTTCTGGACTCCTGCCACTGAATTTCATAGGACTATACACACCTTAGAGTTCAAAGAGCACCCTCAGCCCAGGATCTCATGGGTACCCCGCTTCAGCCTTGTAAGTAAAATGGCAGCATCAGTGTCTGTATTTCATGCTGTCCAGGAATCCAAGGTCCAGAGAAGACCAGCAAGTTGTACAATGATCTACAACTCTTGCAAAAGGCAGCCTGGCTCTGCAGAGTCCAAGAAACAGCACCTGCTGTGCCCACTTCTTTTCCTCCTCATCTCAACATTTCTCCTCAGACACTAGGAAAGAGCTGGGAGCTTCTTGGCCAATCTGAGCAGAAGTGGGGCAGGTGAAGGGCTGCCAAGGCAACAGCCTGTGGGAGACCGTGTCTGTGGGAGCTGCCATCTGGCAGGGGTCACTCTTTCTTTCTGCTGTAGCTCTAGGACAACTCTCCACTTGCCTCAAGATGACTTTCTATGCTCTCTGTTCATCCCCTGCCAAACCCCCTCCTTCACTCACATGACTATCCAATTCTCTTAATTACAGGGCTTACTGGTAACTGCCTACATACTTGCTGCCCCAGACACTGGTTTCCCTGGTAACTGATGAGAAAACTGACATCACCTTCCTGTTAGACTGGTGGGTTCCTCCCTCAAGCGATGAAGATTGCCTCCATGTCCTTCCTCTTCTCTGCTGAACATGGTTGCGCTAAGACCCTTCTTTTCTGGACAGGTAAGATTCCTTATCTAACAAGCCATGGACATCTTTGTCCCTGTCTCCTAGCTCTTGCTTTGGTCTCAAGGCTGGGCATCAACACATGTGCACACCTGCAGGGTGCAGCCCAACAACTGGTGAGTCAGCCAGAAGGCTGCAGGTAATCCGTGAGTGCCGAGATGTTGGAGAATGAGGACAGGGAAGGGAAAGTTGTGGGGATAATTGCAGGGTGGCCATCCCCTAGCATGTGGGTTCCTGTGAGAGAGATCTTTCTTGTCCATTAAGCTGATGACATCCTGCTAACCTCAGAGGCTCTTCCCAGTTTAAAAATAGCAGCCTGGGCTTGTGCTTCACCTGACTACCTGGGGAGGTCTTGTGATACTGGCAAAACATAAGAGCCTTTCTGGTTTTATTGTTTTCTACAAAATACAAACATACCCCTAACCCCCCACCCCTAAATAATTACAGGCTTTAGGGACACTAACTGGGACAAGCTTGTGAATTGGCCATGGTCTGTCATTCTGAAGGGTTCGGTTGGGACCTGTGGCAATGGCAAAATAAAAGGAGTACCCTCTGGGCTTCTGGTCCCAGGTGTGGGAGGGGGCAGGGATATTGTGTCAAGGAACAATGCTCTGTGCAGCCTACATGCTTTACAATAGGTGGAAGCTGTTACAGTGGGCCTACTCCAGTTGCTGAGCAATGCAAAAAAACACCGCTTTAGTGGCCATGAAGTTCAGGAATGGGCTGATAAAAATGCCATACCCTGGCATTTCCACCTGTCCTACAGCCCTACTGCTGCTGGGCTAATAGAAGGATGAGTGGACTAAGTAAGCAACAACTGATACAGGAAACCCACTGTCTCAACCTGTGAACCAAGAGGCTAGCTTAAGCCACAGAACTTGTCGTTAAATATTCCAGGAGCAGTCAGCACAGGGCGTACCTACACCGTGTTAACCCAGAGGCAAATTAGTCAACATCATCGGAGTTCAACTGTTGACCACCCAAGTATCATTGCCAGCTAAGGATCAGGAGAATAACTCACCTTTGCCCTTGCCACAGGATCTACCCTCAGGGGAACATACAGTAAGTGGCCCTGGGACTAAAACTGGCAGGAATCCCAGGTGTTTGGGGTTTGCTGCCCTGTGGGGATTAAGACTAGAAAGGAACTTACAGATTTCATCTAGACCCAGCTAAGAAGACTAAGAAATTAATCAAGGTGCCCTACTAGAGAAAGGCACCATTATATTAACCTTGTGTTCTGTTACACCTCCTCCAGTGTCTGACACTGGCTGAAGAGGACAGAGGTTGGACAGCATAACGGTACTGCTGCTGCTGCTAAGTCGCTTCAATCATGTCCAACTCTGTGCGACCCCACAGACGGCAGCCCACCAGGCTCCCCCGTCCCTGGGATTCTCCAGGCAAGAACACTGCAGTGGGTTGCCATTTCCTTCTCCAATGCATGAAAGTGAAAAGTGAAGGTGAAGATGCTCTGTCGTGTCCCACTCTTAGAGACCCCATGGACTGCAGCCCAGCAGGCTCCTCTGTCCATGGGATTTTCCAGGCAAGAGTATTGGAGTGGGGTGCCATTGCCTTCTCCGTAATGGTACTGCAGCCAAGCACAAAAATCGTAGTCAAGGGTGTTAATATGTCACAGTGCTGTTACTGCTCATATTTTGCTTAATGGTCTTGATCTTCCCTGCATTGAGCCTGTTAGACATCTTATATTTTGTGTTTCTAGTCTGAGTGGAGGGATCTGTTTGCAGATAGAGCAACAATAATGACCTCAGTCCAAAATGAACCTGATGGCTGGGTCTAGAGCGATATGCTATTGTTGTCCTCAGGAATTCCATGAAAAATTGACCTGATAAATGCCTGTCTCCAAAGGTTGCCTACCTATTGGACTCAGTATTCACTAGCTGTGGTTGTCTGTGTTGCATTTCTGGTATCTGTTTGTGGTACATCTCTATATATCTGAGCCAGGAAAGTTGTGGAAGAGGGGTTGACCAAGAAATCAAGGGGTATGCAGGTTATGTAGGGATGGAGTATATGGTCAGCCCATTCATGATGGCTGATCTCTTGCTCTTTCTACACCTCCCTGCTCAACCAGTCCCTGCTCCATTCACAGGACTACACAATCCTATTAATTACAGGGCTTAATTAGTAACTGCCTACATGCTGGCTGCTGCCCTAGCTTCAGGTTTGCTTGGTAACAGATAAGCCCAGCTGACATCAATTACCCCTGTAAATGGTAGGGGGACACTTTGACACTTCTCCCCAGTGCCAAAAATTGTTGCCATTTCCTATCCACTATAAACGGTGGTATGTCACTCTAGGATTTTCTTTTTCAAATATGTAAGATGCCCTGTCCAATAACCATTGATGTCTTTGTTGCTGTCTCTCCCTCTTACTTCAGTCTTAAGGCAGGGCATCTGCAAAGCACAAAGGCCTGTGAGGTCCATCCCAGCAGCAGTGGGCAGGTTGCTTTGGTTTTGGTCTCTGGGAACTGTCAGGGGAGGTCTGGCATTGAGGCCTTCTGCCAGAGCATTCACAGACCCACTTCTCCTCTGTTCTGGGTGCTGAGCTCTTTGATTCTAAAATTCATAACAAGGGCAGGAAAAAGGAGACATGGACATCAGAAGAAGTAAGATTCCACTGTTTCCCCCTTGACCTGTCAGGCAGAGGGCAATGTCTCTGAGGCCAAATCTTGGAGGTTTGATTTATACCTTTCATCTCGTCCTTGCAAACTACATGCAAATTCAGAGCAACTGTCCACACCAGGCTAGGAGTGGCTTCTCCATTGGTTGGCTAGAATGGAGGGCTCCTCATACAGTAT